ACACTAATTCACACTCATAGACTATGGACAATTTAGTCTACCCAATTCACCTGTACTGCATGTCTTTGGACTGTTGGGGAGGCCGGAGCACCCATAGGAAACTCACGCAAACGCAGGGAGAACATGCAAACTCCACATAGAAACGCCAACTGACCCAACCGCGGCTCGAACCACCGACCTTCTAGCTGTGAGGCAAAAGCACTACCTACTGCGCCACTGAGTCGCCTTCTGTGAAACATAATTTGGAAAATGTTGGAAACTGATTAAAATTTCACAGAAGAGCTAATCATTATGCCTTCAACTGCGTATATATAGATCAAAGAGTATTTTTCTGCTTCTTAAAACGATACGAACAAACTTCAATTACATTTTTAATTGTACTTTTTCACTTCAGCAATAGTCTACTAATGTCTTTTCTTTTATAAAGAGACCAAAACCACAGGGACAAATCTTTATGCTTTGAAGCACAAAATAATCTGAAAAAGAAAAAAAAAATCATTTACACCCTCAAAGACGACCAATGATTTACTTCTTTAAAAATGAGAATAGTTTATTATAAAGGCTTATTTTAAATTGTGATTTCTAAACCTGAAAAAGAATTCTCTATCCATTCTGAAACTGTTCATGTACACTCATCAGCCACTTATTTATATATAAGGTACACCTTACTAGTACTGGGTTGGACCCCCTTTTGCCTTCAGAACTGACATGATAGCATCATGCAGTTGCTGCAGATATGTCGGCTGCACATCTGTGATGTGAATCTCCTGTTCCACCACATCCCAAAGGTGCTGTGATTTGGTGACTGTGGAGGCCATTTGAGTACAGTGAACTCATTATCACATTTAAGAAACTAGTCTGAGATGATTTGCGCTTTTTGACATGGCACGTTATCCTGCTAAAATAACCATCGGAAGATGGGTACACTGAGGTCATAAAGGGATGAACATGGTCAGCAACAATACTCAGGTAGGCTGTGGCATTGACATGATACTCAGTTAATGCTAAAGAGACCAAAGTGGGCCAAGAAAAAATTCTGATCCCCCATACAATCTGGTGTGGTCTTTCACTGCTGTACCTTTTCTGTCTCAAGGTTGGACGTGTTGTACATTCAGAGATGATCTTCTGCATACCTAAATTCTAACAAGTGGTTATTTGAGTTACTGTTGCTCTTCTATCAGCTCCAACGAGTCTGGCCATTCTCCTCTGACCTCTGGCATCAACAAGGCATTTGCGCCCGCAGAACTGCTGCTCGCTGCATATTTTCTATTTTTCTGGCCATTCTCTGTAAACCCTAGATATGGTTGTACGTGAAAATACCAGTTGGTCAGTAGTTTTTAAAATACTCAAGACTAGCCCGTCTGGCACCAACAAACATGCCACGTTCAAAGTCACTTAACTCACCTTTCTTCCCCATTCTGATGCTCAGTTTGAACTGCAGCAGATCGTCTTGACCATACCAGCCTAAATGCTTTGAGTTGCTGCCATGTGATTGGCTAATTAGACATTTGTGTTGACGAGCAGTTGGACATGGTTTACCTAATAAAGTGGCCAATGAGGGTAAATTGGTATTTCAGTAAAGTACTTTACCACTGCAATAAGGTTATAGCTATTAGTTTGTGTTTTGACAATGATAAATGCATACAGTAGTATGGAAATGGACCTTAACTTTTGATATAGTTATAGGCAATGGAGGCCCTTGTCGTTGAGAAACACTGCTCTGAAAACTTGCTTTATCAAATGTATCTATAATTAAAGCATTAAAATTTCGGATTGGTTGCATCTCTTAATAATCCAAAAAAGTCTCATCATAGATCAACATGTCAAGTAAAAAACTTTGAATGTCAAGAGTTTCAAAACTTAGAATTTTGGCACTCATAATAACTCTCAAATGCAAGAACCTCAAAGGCAAATTTAAATCCTCAATAAGGAAGTGAAAAGGGCATTCATTAGAATTCAATTCCAATTCAATATTATGTTCAAGCATATATATATTTCCCCCAATAAAAAATATACCCTGAAAAAAATTGTGTAAAGCACTGCACAATTGAAATTTCAGTGCAATTCAATTACATATATTAATCTAGTTAAGTTGAAGTGTGCTTTAATTCTTCAGAAGACTGTCCTACAAGGCTAAACCATCTCATACTGTCCTATTTTGACTTCAGCAGGAGCTCTATTGAATTTAAAAGCTGTTCAAGATATTTTTGAATTACAACATTTCCATTATTTTGTAAAAGCTGAAAACCATAGGCCAACTAGCTCTAAATTCACAATACCCTTTGATTTCATATCATAGAACCATACAAAATTCAAGTGAGGCTTGAATTTAAAAGTCCTACCATTTGTTGGATCTGATACCATGTGGCGAATAATGCAAAAGGGGAATGAAAAGGCATCAAAACAAAGATAAAAAGATATATACAAAATATGAAATGTACATGGATTTGAGAAGAAAGGAAAAAGAAAGGAAAAAGTACACAACTTCGAGACCAGTTTGATTTTATTAGACTTGAAACCAATCGTTTGTAAATAGTAGAATTACATAAGTTGTTGGAACAGCAGAATAAAAATTCTTTTCATAGTTCTTTTCAATAACATTTGTGCACATATCACTCTCATTTGAATTCTTCAGTTAACTAGTGTAACAGTATTTAGGTTCTGAACTTAAATACAGGACGGTCAAGTAAATACTACAAAAGACACAATGTGTATGCATTGAAGGGAAAAATAAATAATGTAATCAATTTAAATTAGCTTAAGCAAATTACATCATGTCTCACTCTTTTGAATCCCTTCCATTTGTGGTCACTTGTATGTGCACAAGCGCCGTCTTATATAAATTAATTAAAGAGCTCAATTTAAAATTGAAAAAAACAAAACACTAACCAAGGTATCTTAATACCTTTGTATAATATTCACACTTTGTCCCACCTGCCACTTTAAATATTCAAGTGTGCGTTTCCAAACAAATTTCTCTTTATGTGCAAAGACATTACATGCATCTTCCTGAGTCTACATCGACACGCCAAATGGGAAAATTAAAGCTCTGAAAAATTATAGTGCAATTTCTCATCAGCATAAAACACTTGCTCTAAAAATACACAAACATGGACTTTTCTATGATATGATGTGCTAATACAAATTCTTGAATATAGCTTACAGCCTAACCACTGTTATTTTAGTTAAGGGTCGCTATAAGTTTGAGGATAGCTCATTCAAAAATATAAAAAATAAATAAATTGGGCTCCCTCATTTTGATACTAACATTCTCTTTTATGGAAAAGGGAGCATGAACATTCCGCTAAACATCTAATTTTGCTTTCAAGAAATTTAAGTATGTAGTTAACTAAGAGATACAAATAACACCCTAAAGTCTTCCTAAGTGTATACACTTTCCTTCATTCTGACAGATTAAAAAAATTAATCTGTCAAAGTTTTACCCAGCTTTGTATTAGCAGTGAATGGTGCCCGAGTTTTAAAGGTCCAAAAAGCCAATCTATCCATCATTAAAGTAATCCATATGACTCCGGTGGGAATAATGAATGTTAATAAAATGCCTTTGGAAACAAAGAAATATACTTTTCTAAGAAAACATCCATATTTATGATAGATCTGTGCACTTTTTTGGTGTTTAAAAAACTTGGGCACCATTCACTTCATTGTTAAGCCTGATGAACCCAGGATGTTATTTAAAGGGATTGTTCACCCAAAAATGAAAACTCACAGATAATTTACTCACCCTGCACTTGTTCCAAATCTGAATAAATTTCTTCTGTCAAAAACAAAAGAAGATAATTTAAAGAATGTTCAGACTGTTTTTTTTTAACAATGGAAGCCACTGGCAACTTGTTTACAATATTCTTCAAAATATCTTCATGTTCAACAAAAAACTAATAAATATTTGGAACAACTTGACTGTGTGAAAATGCTTTTATTGATTCATTTGTTTTTTTTGTTTTCGTATTTATGTATTGTATATATGCAGGGGGGAGGGTGAAGGGTTAACTATTCCCTTAATATAACTCAGACTATGTTAATCTCAAAGATGTATGCACCTAGGATGGCTTTCAGTTGAGTAAATTCTGGGATATTTTGTATTATTCTTCGTTTGAACTCTTCTTTTCAAATGTCAAAGATGTTCGGAACAATATGAGGGGTGCTGAATTGTCATTTTTGGTTGAGTTGTCTCTTTAAGGGACACGATGTGAAATAGGCACCTACTGTACTCCCTGTCAGAGACACAGCACTGTATTTTGAGTTTATACATGCTGCTCCTTCACCATGACATGTTTAGGGTTAAGATGATGCATTCCCTGCCATACGTGCCCTGTGAAACTATGCTACCAGTGAGTGTGCGTTTGCGTCTCATGCAGATGCACACATTCCAGTTAGTGAAGGTGCTCTGCTGTCGCTCTCTCCATGTAAGGAGTGAGTGATCCTTCAGGTCACATACTGACTATATAGCAAAGCCGTACCCTGATTCTGTCTGCGCTGACCTCCATTTTTACCCCTTTCAGGTAGCCAGCAGCTCTTCCACACGTATAAACATCGACAAACACACTTTATCTAGCTAACAGAGATGGCCACTCTAAAGATATTTACTGCTAGTGTACGATAACTATTCAACATTCCCATGAGCTTATTTCTGGACAAGGGATTTTTGATTGCTAAGGCCACAATGTAAATGTGATGCACAAATCATTCCAAAATAAAGGTAATTAAAAAAAATAATAATAAATTACTCAGCTACCGTTGTGAAGTGAGTACAAAAACAACTGCCCTGAATAAAGCTCAAGTGTTGAAGGGATAAGTCCCTTGCTGTGTGACATAAAGCTGCAGTTCTTGGAGGCTTGAATGTGTATGTACAAGTATAAATGAGGCGTTACAAACCTTCTTTGGTTACTGAATAAACATGAGGGTGATATCAGAGTCATCTGAGCAACATTCAAGAATCTCGTGAAAGTTGTGAACTGGAAATAAAATACGAGTAAATAAAACTGTATGAGTAGTGGAATGATAATGACAGGATGTGATGTGCAAACAGAGGAAATGACCTCAGACCACAGGAAATGACATCACTGTCAGGGTATATTTTTATGGGAATAATATTTTCTTGTTTTGTATATTTTTGCATCTTACAGCTAAAGTGTATCATTTCTGTGCCACAAAAATATTTAAGCCCTAAACTCAGGCTATTGCTAGAAAGTTTGCAGTAAGTTTTGTACAAGTAGTGGCGCGCAACAATGACACACTTCAGTTTCAAGAGGTTTTGAACACATTTTCTTTCAAAATTGCTCTCTGATTTTATAAAACTCTGCAAAATTTAATGAGGGAACGCCATAAAAGAGGAATTTGTGCATATGACTTGATTTGTTCCCTCATTTTGGTTAAATCATGGCTTCGTTGTACTAGTTAGTTTTAATTTAGCCATATAATGACCTCAATTAAATTAAAACAAGCAATTAATTCATTGGTTTTGGTTATGAATTAGTACAAAGTGTCCACAATTTACCTAAAATGAAAGAACAAGTGGAACTCATAGAAACAAAAACCAGTCTTCATTTCTTTTTCTTTTTTTTTTTTTTTACATCATGTGCAAGGCTCCATCCTAATTTACTTTTTTGTTTCTTCTAATAAATAAACTTCTCAATTCATTCTTTACACTTTCAGTCTTATTTGAAGAAAGCAAAGCAAATTTTTATATGAGTTAATATGGATGAGAGCTCAGCACTTGTTTCAGTCTAGCTGAACATATTAATGGACCAAAAAAGCTTCATTGGCTTTAGAATCCTTTCAATTTCCTACATTGTAAGTCTAGTTTTGGATTTTAGCTGCCTGTTCCTTCTCGACCTTCTCCTTGGCTTTCTCTTTCTCCATCAGCTTTTCCTCCTTTTGTAGCATCACCATGATCTCTGCAACTTGGTTGGTGGAGATATCAATGTCCTCCTTATCAATCAGCTCTACCACCTAAGCGACACACCAGACAAATGTCAACATAAAATTTACATACAAGTCAAACAGGAAAAAAAAGGGTCACACTTTATTTAGATAGTCCGTTTGTTGAATTTAAGTTACATTGCATCTACCTGCCAACTAATTCTCAATAGATTAAAAGTAGACTGCTAGGTTGGGGTTAGGGTTAGTGTAAGTTGATACTTGCAAAGTTTCTTATAGTTAGTCAAATGTCTGTTTAAGGAGCAGTATCAACAGATATTAGGCAGACAGTCTACTAATACTCAAATGGACCATCAAAATAAAGTGTTACCAAAAAAAAGAATATCAAAAGACACTACAGTGGAGATCAACTTTATAAAACCTATAAAAACTGCTTAGTGCTACACTGTAAAAATGCTGGTTTCCACACAATTCCTTCATGTTGTCCCAACACAAATTGAATAAGTTAAGTAGTTTTTACAAGTTTAAGGCGTTCACAAGTTTACAATTAAATTATCCCCAAAAAACAAGAATTGTGTTGATTCATCTCATTTTAAATAAACAACTCATTTTAAAATAGTTTGGACGTGCAGCATCTTTTTTTTTTTGAGTGATTTAAATTTTTCCTATAATGAGTAAAACAACAGTTTTAAAGGAATATTTTATGAGTTTTCTGAAACACAAATTATTAACAAATGAAACTTAAAAATAGCAATGATCAAATTTAGAGAGCACTTTCAGATTCAGCGATTGAGTCAAGCAGTTCTATAATGCTGCAAGCACTGACATTATGAAATGGACTGATAACAGCCAAGATCTAAACCTGATTGAAAAACTCTAGAAGATTCTTGGCAAAAATGTTATGTTCAATAAACCCAACTACAGTCAACAACCAGTGGAAGAGACTGAAAAAGATTGTTAGCTGTTTCCATTTACCTATTTTATGCACATTTTGGAATATTAAGCATAAAAATGCTTGAATGCAAATGTCAAGGTGAACATACATTTTGTAAATCCACACAAAACTACTATGAAGCATAAGAAATTTATTATATAAGAAAAAAGCCCACAGTGGCTTCTCTTACCGCAGCAAACTACATTTTTCTTTTTGATATTTGACATCAGTTATAAGGAATTTTCTCGTTAGCTTTCACACAAGTCTAATTCCTGCTCTAAAGGCATGGTGTAGACCAGTGGTTCTCAAACTGTGGTACGTATGCGTCCTTCCAGTGGTACGTGGAGGAATCGATAAATAATAAAATTAACACACTTTTAAACCTGACGCAAATGATAATGCAAAGACTCATGTGATCAGACAGCATTGGCTGTTCGCTGAAGCTTACAATTATGCTAGTGTGCCTTGAATGTTTACTTCAGTGCATCGCGTCATCAGATGTTAAGAGTAAGTCCGCTTGGCACAGAGCCAGAGAATAAGGCGCTAGAGAAGCCCTTTTGTAGACCAGTGCTGTTGTGTTGGCATTTCAATTACTGCAAACTCAGGAATCTCCCTATGCTGCATCATTGGTAAAATAACTTTTACAAATATGTTCAAATGTGTGCTCGTAGTTGTGTAAAATAATGCACGTTTTCTGTATATGAAGTTATTTGTTTTGTAAAGCAGCGTGCACGGCTTTCGGTTTAGTTTTGTTACCTCAGATTTAAGCTAATTAATTTGGATGTGATTCAAGTGGCGCGAGACACAGAATATAGACTCAAGCAACTTTGCCATCCTTGAAGCTAAGAGGTAGAATATAATCCAAGTCAGCCTCTGTGCGCAGACGGAGGAACCGTGAACTGTACCCAAGTCTGCTTAAAAATAGTGGTCAGTGCGCGGTTAACGCGAACTCCACGGTTCATAAGATGTGATCTCATTTGCACCAAACCACGGGAATACCACACATGAATTGGTCAAGCATTGTATTTAACACTGTATGTAACATTTCCAGGTTCTGCTGAAAAGGCTACTATACATCAATACTTTACAAGTACATCAGTTTTCTTTTTACTTTTTAACAACAGTACAATTTTTAAATTACTTTTAAAAGCACATTTTGTTTTTAAACTGTGACTTTTTTTTGCTGTTTTTGTCTGCAAGCACAGTTTAGTTTCAAGATATTGTTAATGTTTAAAGTGGCTGACAATAATACATATTCTTAATAATAGGAAATAATCTGCCTCATTTTTACCTGTGCAGTACTATAGCTGCTTTGTGCTTAATTAAGCCTACTAAGCTACTGTATTTTAATACTTGTCATTATGGTGGTACTTGGAGAGACAATTTTTGTCTGAGATGTTACTTGGTGAAAAAAGTTTGAGCACCACTGACGTAGACAATGGAACCTTTTCACAAGACTGTTATGATGCATTTAACGGTAATAAGTATTATAATCCCTGAGAATGTTTAATATTTAGATAAAAAAACATACATTTGTATCATATCATCCTTGCATCAAATTACAAACAACTAATTATCGTTTACGTGAGGTGTTTCTAACGCAATGTCTATGAATGGAAGGCAAATTTGACATTGTTCTATCTAATGGCTACAGTTATGAGTCTCACACTATTTTTTTTCCCTTTTTTGAAAGTCTTTATAACACCATCATCGTGATTTTCTTTTATTATTTCAGCAAATGGGATTGTAAAAAAAAATTGTTGTACTCTCCCATTTCCTACGCTTGAAGTTTACCCAACTATGGCGACTTCTGCTACTGAGAAACCCAGAAATGTGAAAAGGCTCCATACTAAATTCCATTCAAATTCCGAACAATGTAGAATCCATTATTCCTCTAAGACAATGTAGAATTTATAAACTGCTCTCTAATTTTGATCTCCACTGCACTTCTTGTTACCTTGATGACATCATCGATGTCTATCTTGCCATCTTTGTTTTCGTCGAGTGCGTCTGCGATGCTGAGCAGCTTGTGTTCAGGAATGTTCTGGATCTGCTTCATGACTGTAATGAGCTCGTTGATGCTTATCAGATTCTCCCTGTAAGACAGAAAGACACTGCATACAGGGAACGGTTACTTGATAAGACAACAGGTAAGATGGTGGAGGACGAGTAAGTTCTCTGATCAAGTCGCATGCCAAGACAGCGTGCAGGGTTCCCAGAAGAGATGTTAGTGAGTGGAAGAGCTTTAGGAATCATTGCTAATTGTATTGAGACATTGATTTTTTCGATTTTTTTGACTAAATCGTACAAGCTTGGAGTGTAATGGCACATGTCACAAACCAATAATGTTTTGGTATTGGTGTTTAGTTTTGGTATGTATATTAAAACTGAACAAATAAAGTGCTGTTTTAAAAGGGGCTATATGTATCAATTTTCATATATGAATCTCCTTTTTATTCCAGACGTATAAACGGCCTGTAATGAAATTTAAAAATCAGCTTTCATATATAACCTAGAACATTGACAATGATATCTGTTTTTTATAATATGTGAAGGATATTTTTCATGGCAAAATGCAAAGAATGAGATGTTTATAATGGTCCAGAAAAACTCTCATCTGTGAATAGAATGTCTTTTAATATTCCAAATCATGTCAATACAGCCATTTTGTCCTGTAACACCAATGTGTCATGCAAAGAAATTAAATAGAATCCTTAATTCTAACAATAGTCTTGCTTAACCAGATCTACATAGTATACTATCTCAAATATACTTTGTAGCAAAATTATTGTAACAGTCCACCTTTAAAGGGGCGATTTACACTATTCTGATTGCTACTGTGGAGATCAGAATTTATCTGAAACAGAGGTTTTCAAAGTCAAAGGGCATGAGCCAATTAAAAAAGATGCATTTGATAGATGTTGTAGATGGTGTATGTGGCTGCTGTCACTTTAAGACCTTACACATGATAGGGCTGGCCGATATGGCATAAAAGCAATATCAATAATTATTTTCCATATTAAATGATAACACTATAAGTTGTTAATGTGTCCAGATTTAAAAGAGTACCCCAACAATGACTGAAGCCACAAAAATTAGAGGGTCCATTAAATGGCATAACATGTTTTTGGTCGATACATTTTCGGTGGTCGAAAATTTGATACCAAACGAATATATCGAATGCGATACATCTTGAAATTTCAATACATCTGGAATCTCTATATCTCGGTGGCCAAAAATTCAATATCAACACATTTTTAGATTTCCATTGTTGCACATTTCTGCTGTCTAATTGACTCTTAGGTCAATACAGAGTAAAAAAAAAGTCCAGAGCTTATCATTGTTCTTGACATAAATTTTGTTGTGATTCGTTGTAGTATCATTTATCGGCCCAGCCCTACTTACACATGGATAATGTCTCCAACAGTTTACTTTTACTTTAGACATAACTGACTGTGATGAGCATTTCAATTAAAGATATTAAGACAACACAAGTGAAATATTTGAAATACAGAAATGACAATAACGTTTGGTTAAAAGAATGGACCAGTTTCTTAAAATGTCTCCCCAATGCAAAATAGTCATTTAAAAATAAGACTGTGTGGGTGTTTGTATCAAAATTGACATCTTCATGATTACTCGCGCATTATTTTTTGCTCTCTTTATGGAAAACATACCAAAACATGACTTTCAAAACAAAGTATATACCAAAAATTATATCTATGTACCATTACACCCCTAATACAAACCTCATTTGTGGTTTAAAACATAGGCCATAAACTGTCATCAATGTTTAACTTGCAGTACTGAGAACAATGAACGATTTCACAGCACAACCCTAATCACACAACTGATTTAATCCACAAAAACCAACACTAATTAAACAAACAGGACTAGTAAAAAAAATGTATTAAAAAAAGACAAGCACACCGCTGGTGAATTAAATTATTAAATCAAACTTAAATCACCCCGCCCTCAAATAATTATAATTCTGTTACAAACTTGTCAAAAAATATGGTTTAGTCCATATTTTTAAGTTATTAATGCTTTTGATGAGCAAACAAAAAGAAAATCGAGAAGTCTCTCCTGTCCTTACCTTGGCAAGTCACTACGTTTCTCAAAGAACAATCTAAAAAACAACAAAAAATGTTTTAGTTGGACTGGGAACCCTTTTTTTTTAATTTTGCGTTCACATCCTGTACAGTTATTCTTCCACCACCATTTTACTGTCAGCTATAACTTCTCATTGTGGGGACACAAATGCACCATCAGAAAGAAACCATAACATTTAATTCCACACGAACTGCAAATCAAAGCGTCTTACCCAATTGGTGGTGTGGTTTCGCTGTCCATCTGTCCGTCTAGCACCATCTTGTCCTTCTCCAGCTCAGTGATGATCTTATCCATTCTGCCGATCATGCGGTTTACCCGCTTCGACAGTCGCTGACTTGCTTTAGACTCCTCCACGGCCTTCTCCTGTCCAGTCTTGGACAGCTCTCGCTTTATCTCCTCCAGGTCCTGTAGAGAGACACACACATACACATTCAAATGTTTATATCAGAAATGAAAATGAATGAATCCTACACTATAAAAAAATGTACAACAAATCAACAAATCATGAAGACGAGTCTTTAAAATCAATTAATTGGTTTTCAACTCAATCTGTTTAGTTATTCATTCATTCATTCATTCATTTATTTTTCGGCTTAGTCCCTTTATTAATCTGGGGTCGGCACAGCGTATGAACCACCAACTTATCCAGCATATGTTTTACGTAGCGCATGCCCTTCCAGCTGCAACCAATCACTAGGAAGCATCCATACACACATTCACTACGGACAATTTAGCTTACCCAAATCACCTATACCACATGTCTTTTGGACTGAGGGGGAAACCAGAACACCCAGAGGAAACCCTCGCGACCCCACTGCGCCATCGTGCAGCCCCTAATTTAGTTATATAAAGTTTACCTTAATAGTTTTAGTCAGTTTGACTAACGTAAGTTGAGATGACTATAAAAGTTCCTTTGTCACAACAACAACAAAAAATAGGCAGCAACATTTTTTTTTACAGTGTAGTGCTAGGCAATATGACCTAATATCAAAGCACATACCTCAATTTCTATTTTTGAACGATTGTTTAATTCATTTATTCATTCATTTTCCTTCAACTAAGTCATCAGGGTTCGCCATAGCAGAATGAACCGCCAACTTACCAAGCATATGTTTTGCACAGTGGATGCCCTTCCACACTATGGCCAATTTAGTTTGTTCAATTTACCTATAGCACATGTCTTTGGACTGTTGGGGGACACCGGAGCACCCGGAAGAAAACCCACATGAACTTGGATAGAACATGCAAAATCCACACAGAAATACAAACTGCTCAAGCCGGGACTTGAACCAGCAACCTTCTTGCTGTGAGACGATGGTGCTAACCACTGAGCCACCATGTCGCGATTTTTTGTTTTGTTTTAATTATATATAATCCACTTATTATAATAATATAATCCTCAAATATAAGGGAAGAAGCCGAAGCAAAGTGGGTGAGTGATACTTGACATTTTAAAGGTCATTTAAAAAATATATAAAATATATGTCTGTCAGGATTCTGAATATTAATTACATTGTTCACTCAAACTGATTTTTCTGAAGTGAAAATGCAGATGGATGGATGGCCTTTAAACTGCTGCTGATTTACATGCAGCACATCAATTATCTTACGTGTGAGTGTCTCGCTTTCTCTTTTTTGCACGTTTGAGAGAAACGCACATGCTCGGTCTGTCTAAAAGTGGTAGTTTGTCTTAAAGGGAAAGTATTAACAGGATTTTTTTTTTTAAACCTGAAATCAAAGTTCATACACACACTCCTACTAAAATTGCGTGACTTTTCCAAGGCTTAAGTAAATTTTCATGATCTAATTTAGGGCTGGAAGATTAATCGAAAAGTAATCGAAATCAACATTAAGAACCTATAATAGATCAAAATTTTCCGGGTCAATTTTTTCGTTACTTTTCCTACCAAGTGTGAGTCATGTGACCCCACTCTGTTAAGAGTGGATTTAAACTTCTGCGTCGAACACATGGGTGTGGTACAGCGCAACCTTTGTGCGGTCGCATACCCACGCAGAGATGCCTTGAGACGGCATATTTTCCATTCCATTCATTCATTCACTTTCTTTTCGGCTAAGTCCCTTTCTTAATTCGGGGTCACCACCGCGGAATGAACTGCCAACTTATCCAGCAAAATTTTACGCAGCAGATGCCCTTCTAGCTGCAACCCATCTCTGGGAAACATATACACACACACACACACACACACACTCATTCATACTCATACACTACGGACAATTTAGCAAACCCAATTCACCTCTACTGCATGTCTTTGGACGCAAACGCAGGGAGAACATGCAAACTTCACACATAGATGCCAACTGACCCAGCCGAGGCTCGAACCAGTGACCATCTTGCTGTGAGGCAACAGCACTACCTACTGCGCCACTGCATCACCATTTTCCATTGCGATAAACTTAGTATTTACATTTAAGTATTTGTTTAAAGTAGATCCATGAAATACATTGTTGAAAATATTATTTACAGGAGTCGTTTCATTTAAAAGAGGGATCTTATAATAAATAATATACTGCTTATTTTCTACTTTTAATATGAAAAACTGTGCAAAAGTGCAAGTTAACTATTTTTTTGTTTTTTTAAGAAAAATGTGCCTGTTGGTTTTAGGCAATGTGTGTTTTAATTTCAGTAGTTCAATGTTGAAGTTCAATAAATAATCATAGATGACATAAAATAATCATTCGTTGATCGTACTCGAGTTAGAATGTTCATTTAATAAAGATTTTAAATTTGAGGCCAAATCGCTCATACATATATAAATGTATTAAATATTTTATTGTTCAAGTTTATTATTATATTTGTATTATAAAATATTATATTTTTAATTAATTTATTAAATATTAAATTTATTTATTTTATTTATTTTTTATATCCATGTAAAATATACTTAGATAATGCTTACATGGCACTAATAATGTGAGAGTATATGATTGGCCAAGGACAAAAAATAAGTAAAGGCAACTAATCTATATTCAACTATAGAGATATTTGTTAAACAAATATGACTTTTTAAAATTTCATGACTTTTTTTTTCAAAACTTTTCCAGGCCTGAAAAATGTCATGTCAAAATTCCATGACTTTTCAAGGTTTTCCATGAACGTACGAGCCCAGTGAAATCTTTATCACTGGGGAATTTACGTTCATTATTGTTTACGAATTTTGTTTTCTTTTCGATAAATCATCCAGCCCTAATGAATGCATCTTTACACTTAAGCTTCTGGTCTCACACACCTCACTGTACTCCTGCACATCATCCTTCAGGTCCTCTAGCTCCTCTTTCTCTTTGGTGAGGAGATTCTTCTGCTCCTTCAGTTTGGTGCAAGCGTCGCTCAGCATGTCAATCTCCTCCTTAGTGATCTCCTCGCCCTGAAAAATGAAACGCAGCGTCTATCAACTCTCGCCCCTGTGAACTCGCACAGACATTGACATGCATGAGACAAGCAGTGTCGGGGAACCTTTAAAGCAGTGGCGGACTTGACCTTTTGGTGCAAATGGGGGTTCGGTGCTCGCTTCACAGTCTGTAACAGTTTTAATGAGGCAATATACCAAAAAGGGAGGACATTCAGTGGAAAAACAGCTAATTAGAATATATATTCTACATAAAAAAAGAGAAGTACATATTAAATTTTCTGTGCATAGCTAACAGTTACTGTACAGTCAAGTTACCCTTTAAAATAAAAAAACAGGTAAGCCTAGTCATTAAGAGAAATTATCTTATTTTTAGCAAATATTTGATCAAATGATGACTTTGTTAAAAAAAATACACCTGAAAAGATGACAATAAAAACAAAAGGCTCTACTTTAACAATCTAGGCACAAAGTCTAAAGTGCAAAAGCATTAAGGGGGTGTCCAAATCCACTTTTGTAATTTTAAGGACTGAAAAACACATTCTGCTCCCCAGTGCATGGTCTAACAGGGTTGTGCTTATTCTCTTAATGAGTTATGAGTGTGTTTTGAGCATTTTGAGCATTTTGATCACGCCATGGCGCATTTGCCATTTACGTGGCAGGCTTTGTCACTAGCAAAGTGACAAACTTTACTTCACTTCCTTCACTTTCGTGAAGTAAGGAAAGAGTGTTTTACACACTCCACTGAAGACATCCATTAACCTACATATTTAATTTTGTTTGTTAAGCGCAAAGATTTGTTTAAAAAGCATTTCTAAATTCAGTTTTAATTTTCAGAAAACGAACAAATGAACAGTAATAACGAAGTGTGGTCAAAAAATTTGTTATGTCCAAACACCCATCCTATTCTTTTGCCCCACATGGTGATGCATTTGTCTCTAAAACCCGGCAGGTGGAAAAATTTAAACTTGTTTTTATTAAAAACAAATATAAATGTGCATATAATAAATAATGCTGCTAATAATAATATTATACAAATGCTATTTTTTAAAAAAGTCCCCTGTGATGAGGCACGGAGGTAGAGGTTTCTAAATTTATGTAGAAAATTATAATTTTTGTAACATTTTAATCCTTCATATTTTTCATGTATAAATATATTTGTGTATTGCTGTACATCTTGTGTGTATTAAGCAATGTGTAAACATTTGTACCTGCACAGGGGCATAACTGACACACTGTGTGCTGGATTTGACACCAGCTTTTAGTTGGTCAATGGCACAGTCTTTTTTAGTTTCTCAAAATGGCAACGCACCAACAATGCACCTTACCACACTTTCTTTTTAGACCAGCACACCCATGAGGACACAAAGTGGCACAAAAATATTTGTTATTTAAACAACGTAACGCAAAACATGAAAATTACTGTTACAGTGGATCGGAAAATAGCAACAACACGTGCAATACATGTCTTGCAGTTGTATAATAGGGCACAAAGTGTTGTTCTAAAGTTTTAAAATACTTTTTCAAAATTCTTTGAATATTAATATAAAATTCAAAACACAGCCTTTATTTTAAACTTATTTCAATTATTTTATTAGATATTTTGCTTTATTTGAACTGATTTGAATGTTTTATAATATTCATTATAAACATCTTTACTAAATTTAATTACCATTTCTTTTTTTAGCATATTAATGCACCTTTGATTAATGAAAGTAAAAACAAATCTTACTGCCCACAACTTCTAAACAATAATGTAAATAATGTTATTACAGAAAATCAATACTGATTTAAAAATTTGAATTACTGTCTCACTTCTGTTACTCCCCAACACTGACACATATACACTGGTTGCTCTTTTATTAAAGGATCAGTCAGAGGAAGGAAAGGTTTCCAACAAAAGTCAAAAAGGTTACTAAAACCAACAGAAACACATTATAGGGCTGATTGAGAAAGCCTCTGGTGGGCTTCTGCATTTTACACTGTCCTACAGACTCACACAAACTCATACAGGGGTAGAGAGTTGAGGATTGAAGTTGGAAGGAGGATGCAGGCACCAAACCACACCAAAATCTGCTCTTCAAATCAAAATATTCACATTATAATTTGTTTATTATAATAACATTAATATATAATAATGTTTGTGAGGTCCAAGCTCATTGGAAATACATGCCTCAGCATACATTTTTGTGAAACATAAAAAGAGTTGCTCCAGTTATGTTTTTTTGCACGTTTCAGAAGACAAGTCCATTCAAGGGCGCTGTTTTGGGTTTTTTTGGTGAATTTTTTTTTTTTTTTTTTACATTTTTGTTAATGTGAAAAACATAACTTAAGGTATGTTTTGATGTATGTTGTTTCAAATGAAAGTCTTTCTTGTACACATTCAAGAGAAAGCAGAGCTTTTAGATCACAAGTGAACCCCAGACCTAAACCCTTCTCTAAAATCAACAAATAATGTTTTCAAAAGCAAACATAAAAGAAAACTGCACTACAACCACATAGTTTAACATTAATTTTACACTGCTTGTTTCTCGTTAGTGGAGCTGAAATTCACTGGATCTTCATCACAAGTAGAACACTCTACAAAGTGACAGTTTCCTGCCGGAAACGTTGTCCGAAGTATAAAATTGCAGTTATTCAACTTATTCAAACTTATTCAATTTAAAATTATAAACGAAGTTCTTTTGAGGTATTTTTAGATGCAGTACAAAGAACTGCACAAAAATAATGTTTTTTGTCAATAATATGTCCCTGTTAATATCATCACTGTGACAATAAGCATGTTTAAGTACAGCCAAAACATTGTTGCTGCTTGTTCAAACTACTTATTTAAAATGAGCTGTATTAAAACAACTCTTGAGTTATTTCAGGACAACTCAATTGTTTTGGGCTCTATTTTGACGGTCCATGCACAGAGCGCAAAACGCAGGGCGCAAACACTTACAGGGCGTGTCAGGACGCGTTTTTGCTAATTTAAGGACGGGAAATCTAAAAGGGTTGAGTTTATTTTCTTAATGAGTTATAGGTGTGTTTTGAGAATAAACCAATTAGAGTCTCATCTCCCATTCCCTTTGAGAGTCAGCTGCGTTGCGCCAAGAGCGCATTCGCTATTCACAGGACGCAAAGTAAGTCTAAGTGGAAAAAATGAGCATTTCACAAGCAAACAGTTAACAGTTTTTAACAGAAAACTGTTAAACAGAGCATCTACTGCGTGAGAATGAGAGATAATGGATCCCTTTCACTTTCGCTCTTGGATAGGGAAACCTTTTATGCACAGACATCAATTAGTCTATAAATAAATACTTTTGTTTGTTAAGCGCAAATATTCGTTTCAAAACTATTTCTAAATTCAGTTGTAATTTCCAGCAAACGAATAAATGAATAATAATAGCAAAATGTGCTCAAAAACCTGAGTTATATCCTAAAACACATGCTGTGCCCCATATGGTCTAAAACCTGACAGGTGGGCAAATCTAAGCTTGTTTTTAATAAAACAAATATAAATATGGATATAATAAATAATACGGCTAATAATAATAACGTTATACAAAAGCAAATTGTTATAAATGAACTGAAAAAGCCTCCCGAGATGAAGAAGACATAAAAGCAGTGATTTTTCATATTTATGTAGGCTAGAAAATAATGTTTTGTTATATTTTAATCCTTTATGTTTATATTCTATAGCTATTCTTATTATATACTATATATATCCTTAATATTTACATTTTTTCATATGTAAAGATATTTGCCTATTGCTCTCTTGTGCGTATTAAGCAGTGCGTAAGAGTTTAGACCGGGTTAGTTTTGGTCTAATGAAAAATCTATTAGAGATTCTCAAAATAGCAACGCGCCAGCGGTCCGCCTCAGAACGCCTCCCTTTTTAGACCAGAACGCCTATGGGCGCAAAAATGAGCTCTAATGCATTTGCTATTTAAACAGCGTAGCGCAACGTCTCAAAACGACTCTTGCGCCAAGCTGAAACTACCAAAAGACTACTGCGCCACGCCTTGCGCCACACTGCGCCAGGTGTATGATAGGGCCCCTTATGTTCAATCCACTTAACTTGTGTTTGGACAACATGAAGGAATTGCATGGGACCCAGCATTTTTTACAGTGTACGTTTTTGCAGTTTCACAAAAATGTAGAGCGAAGCACGTACTTTCCATGAGCCCATGTTGTGTTTGTGTCTGTTGTGCTAAATATAACCTAATCATATGCCAACAGAACCTTTTCTGAAAATGTAAATGAGAGAAAAGCACAAATAAAAGTGACTATGAGAGCAGAGCATCAGTGTGGTGACGTGAGGATCAGTTCTGCATCTAACCTGAATGCGCAGATACCTCTGCCACTGCTCGAACTGAAGAAATAAACACGCAAAATGATGCACACGACAACACACAGAAACAGACAAAGTCATTCCTGTGACATGTCAGCACAAAATTCTGTTCTACATTAACATGACAGAAATGGATCATTGCAACACTCAAAATCATCATCAAAATCATAAATATATATAAAATCAAGGCTTGACATTAACGTTTTTGATAAGTTGTTTTCCAACATTACTAGCCACTCAGCATTTTCACTATCCACAACTTTGTTGTTGGGACGAATTATTTTACATGCATAAATATGACTTTAACATGCTACATTTACTTGATTTAGATTTTGTGTTATGTCAACATGTTTCTTCATTCATTTCACTTTTTGTGTGAGCTTGCTCAATGAACATGAGCAAATGGGTCATGGTTTCATAGTGCAAATTACAATTTGTTTTTATTTCACTTTTCAGAGCTCAAAACTAAGGATTTACAAAATTTATCTCTGACCACACCAAACTTAAATAATTAATTATTCCTTAGCCACAGGTTTTAAATGCATCCAAACAAGCAAAATATTGCTATATACTATACTTTTTATTAAACAAAACATTTCTTTAAAAAAAAAAGAAAAGAAAAACAATTGACATTAAAAAAAATAATTATTGTCATGTAACTAAAACATGCACCATAATCCGTCCTGGCTAAAGGTACCAGATCACTACACAAAAATGGGGAATTAATCTCCCATTAAAGCAACGTTATTGTAAAAAAACTATAATTAAACCATAGTAACAAAAATAACTAAGCAAAAAAAAAAAAACAGGTCAAAAACATACTGTGTGTGATATTGAAAGGATGATCACATGCACATGATTAATGCACAGGTCAATTAATAATCTGTTCAAATAATAGTTAAAGTGAAAGCAACTGGTGCCGCTTACAAAAAGACCAATCTGAAGGTCTTGAAAGCAGCAAGACTGTAGGTGCATGAGAATAACATTTTGTTTAGTTTATTTGAAAGAGAACCAATCACACCAGCTGTGTTTTCAGGCACAATTGCGTCACCCAAGGAAACAGGAACATGCACGCATTTAAACAGTCGCATGCATTACATCAGCTGTTAGCGCGAGTGATCATCCTCTCATTCGGTATTCACCTGCTTTCTCGCGCAAACAATTAGTTTTGTCAGTCATGCTGCTTCTCGATGCTAAGATCGCTTTTGCACTAGGGTCGGGTCGATAGACGATGCCATCGTCCATCTCCAATGGCCAATAGACAACACGATGCTGAGCCGGTATCGCCGATGCTCCGCCCCGGTTGCAAACCTGCTCGCGATAAATACACACTCAGACCCTGTTTACACTCATACGTCTTAGTGTTAAAATGGCATTTTAAAACAAAAATGATCCACATACACACCCATACAGTGTTTTACTTAGCATTTCTGAACAGTCCTCTGTCCGCTGAAAACGCACATCACGTATCCACACACAGACACAAGTATTGCTCATTGCAGAGCCAAACACACACACAGCATGTGCTCCTCTGAGCTCCAGAGACAAAGAGCAGAGCAGTGGGAGTCTCTATGCATTTGCGGGTCTCATAATGCCCGCAAACGAGTGATAATCTCCCGGAAATCACACGTCTCCCAACCGGTTCTCGAATAAGTCAAGCACCCTTCTCACCCCCGGATCCCTCCTCGCTCTTCAGGCACGTTGCGCGGTTTACCCCCCGCTCGATCACTCGCTCTTCACATGATGACGATGCCATTGTCCATCGCAATGTTCACATCAGACATCGCACAATGCCAAATTGGTCGACATCGGCCATCCCTAATTTGCACGCATATTGGGTTATCCTTATTGCCGAACCCTGCTTTTAAGAAAACTACAATTTTATAATTATTTTCAACTGCCCAAAGTGGCTAGTGGGAGTGTCTGTCTAACCCACAGCTGAAGTATACCCGCATTTGATATTAATGTCAAGCCCTGTATATATATATATATATATATATATATATATATATATATATATATATATATATATATATATATATATATATATATAATTATCTCAACCCAAATATTGAACAATAGTGCACAATTTAAAGTTTATTCCAAATGTCATGGTATGGAGTAATCATTTGAACAAACAGAAGTGTATTTAGTTTAATTTTATGTTAATGTAGTTATTAGAAAGTGTTAACAAATCATCATCAGAGTTTGTACAGACTTAAATCAAAACATTTAAGCGTGTTTTTTCTTACCTTAATTCCCTCCAGCACTGGTGCAGTGTCTCGTAGTGTTTCTGAATGGATGGCCACATCTACACTGGACAGAGCGTGTTCTGCATCCACCCGTCGTTCTCCTTCCACCTCCAGCACCTCAGCCTCCTGACGACACATTAAAAAAAAAGCTTCCAGAAAGAGTTCATCTACACTACCGGTATGCCGCAGACATCACTGTCTGACTGTATTGACCTGTGACTGTGTCTGCTCCTTTGCTTTCTCTGCAGCATCAGCCAGTCTCTCCAGCTCTCGCTCTCTGTTCTCCTGTCTGATGGCCGCCTCTTCCTGCAGCGTGGTCTCCAGCTTGGTCTTGTTATCCACTTTAGAGAAGTCTAGCTCTGCTACTTTCACCTGTGCCTCTTTAGCCTGTGAATGCACAAGCGAACACACACTCATTTCAGTAGGAATATCTGAAGTGCTCCTAAGCATACCAAAATTATTTTTACCCCTTTTACGTTCTGGAGTTTGAGTCACATTTTTTTATGGTCTGCAAAAAAAATTAGGATCAAATGGTGGCTGACATTAGCACAGGGTTCTGGTTTTATTCAAAATATGAATTAAAGTAAAATAAACTCATTGCCTTGCCATCTAACATACAACAGTTGTTGCCAGGGCTGGACTGGGGCAAAAAAATCGGCCCTGGCATTTTGGGCCAGAGCAGCCCACTACATTCAATCAAAATGCTATCTATCTATGCACGTCCAGTATTTTAATCAACTCATATTTTATAAAACACAAAAGCCATATATATGAAATAAATAAATAAATAAATACAAACTTTAATCTCAATTTAATTTCTGTATACTGTCCATAAAGATATTTGTTGAGTTCTAAAAAACACACTATTCATTCATTTATTTTTCTTCGCATATGTCCATTATTTATCAGGGGTTGCCGCAGTGGAATGAACTGCCAACCATTCCAGCATGTTTTATGCAGCAGATGCATTTCCAGCCACAACCCAATATTGGAAATCACCCATACACACACATTCACACACACTCATACACTACAGCCAATTTAGCTTATTCAACACACTATTCACTCTGCTTATATTCAGTAATAAACTTAACAAAAACTGCCTGCTGATCCATGGGTAAATCTTCAAAGGGAACAGTGTACTTTATAACCTCTTTCACCTCATCCTGCTTGCTGTTTCACTATCTAAACAATGAAAACATAATATAAGTCAAATTTGTTTCATTTTGATATTATGATTAACAGACACCAAACAGCCTCGTGTAGCTGCATATTTATATGAGCGTCATCTTCACTCTGCATATTTAAAACAAAACAGGGCTTAAATATAACTGTCTCCTTTCATTTTCTTTGAAAAGAACAAACTTTACCCCGTCTCTTTTGCAGAATATCAGTTTTAATAATCAATAATGGCCATTATAACAGTATAACGTACAATAAATTTATATGATAAATGTAAGCAATCAGTCAATATGCAAAATCAGTGTACGTGGTTACATAAATTAATATATAAGCTTATCTTTGCACTCAGCCAAAACAACAAGATGAATTCAATATCACGTTTAACAACTATAGTGAAATGAGATCCAGCAGATGAACTGTCTGACGTGCACTATACTCTCACGTGGGGTTTATGCTCACCCGCTGAATTACTGGCTGCAGCTCTAGGCAGAGAGTTTGTGGTCACGTGATTTGCGTTTTTAGCCGTGTACTAGAATGAACGGAGAACTTTTCAGAACCGCAAAATGGAACGCCGGTGTATTTCCCGCGATTTCTCTGCGCCTCCCTTGCATTTCTTCTCTCTGATTCTCGACTATTTTGACAAATAAACACAGACGACGCACGCTCATACAGAGCCCAAAATAGGAGTTTGTGATTGGGCCTGCCCAATGTCAATACAGAAAAGAGCCAATGGGCTGCAGAGTGTCACATGGGCCGGCCCGGTCTGTCTGTCCGGGGGGAAAAAAGCATCTTACTTTCAGAGTCACAGATCACAGCAGCGTCAATTAATAAGGCAGAAAAAAAACAATAAGCTGCTAAGCCTTTATTGGGCCGATCAGATCATAAGACAATGATCAGCCCGGCCCAAAAAGTACGTCGGCCCACCGGGAAAGTGCCCGGTCTGCCAGATGGCCAGTCCGCCCCTGGTTGTTGCCATACAACAGTTATCAGCACTCCTACAGCTTCTTCGCCCACACAAGTGGCAAGAAGAGGACTACAGTTTGACAAATACTGCAGATGTTGGGCAACATAATGTACTTTTGAAGCTTTTTTAGTAGAGAATGAAGTTGTTTAGATTGCAACCACGCAGTTTATTTATAAGGATAGTGCCTATTTTAAAATGTTTATCATTTCGGAGATTCAGCGCATTGGGGGCCAGCCAGCCATACTGAGCGGAGCAAAGACGGTTGATGTTCCACCACCAGACGGCAACAGAGACTGCATAATAAGTCTTGAGGAGAGAAAAACAGCATTTTCTCAGCATATGTTATAGCTGAACAAATCATTACAGAACAGGTAAGTGACATTCTATGTCGATCTCTCTCTTTAGTATGTTGTAGTGCTGTATTTTTACCATAGTAATCTCGTAGTGTTTGCTTTGCTATGGTTTTTCATGGTTAATTATTGTGATCTCACGATTGCAACAGAAATACTGTGAAATTTCTGTTGACTGATGGCATTTCATGCCATTCAGCCTTATAATCTTAAAATGTGAGAATGCAAGAGAATCATTCAAATTCTAGATCTAAAGTGACATTGGTGAAGTAGCAATGGTTTCTGCTGTTCTGACGTCAGCTGCAGATGTGAATGGCAGAAATAATTCCCCTTACAAAAAGGTTTTTAGACTCTCCGTGTTAGATTTTCTTTTTAATCACACGATTATGTTGTCGAACTGTTGTAAAAATGCAATGTCACATTCGTATAGTGAGATATGGCTGTTTTTCGTCACTGGTGGGACACTAAGGCATATCACATATCACTGCTATGAGTGTGATATTGCTCATATATATGCACATAAACAGTTGAAGGCACAAATATTAGTCCACCTTTGAAATTGTCTATTCTTTTTCATATATTTTCCAAGTGATGTTTAAAGGAGAGATTTTTTTGAACATAATAGTTTTAATAACTAATTTCTAATTGTTTATTTCTTATTTTATACTTATTTCTTGTTTTCTAACTGTTCTAGCTTATTTTCTTTTGCTTTTGCCATGAAAACAGTACATGGTATTGTTTTCTAATTATTTAGCAAAATGCTAAAATTCAGTTTAAAATGCAATTGAATTAGGTTCTCCTAAGTTATTGGACAACAGTGGTTAAGGGGGCTGTTAATATTTGCCTTATAAACTGTTTTAATAGTTAGGAAAAGCTGTTTTTATTACAGCCAAAATAAAAGAAATAATACATATACCAGAGGAATAAATATTATAGGAGATATTGTGAAAATTTCATTCCTCTGTCAAACATAGCGTTGAAAATATTTATAAAGAATGAAAAAAAAAAAAAAAAAAAAGAGTTAATCATTATATAAACATTGTTCATTATACATTAATTAAAAAATATTACAGAAACCATATTTGTAGTTAGGTGCTATACTTGTGATTTAGACTTTCAAACATAACAAAGTATCATCCAGTGCCACTGCTGTCAAGTATTTGTTTAGCATCACATCATTAGTGTCAGTTTCCTTTAAAGGTGCTGTATGTAAGTTTTTGACTCTACAAAAAAAAAAAAAAAAAAAAAAAAAAAAACTCTGTTCTAAAAGTACCATAATATGTTTGCAGATATTTAAGAAACATGCTAAGAGAACATTCTTGTTTATCCGAAAAACAATGCTTTAGTCAGATTTTCTGCTTTGAAAATGCCGGAACACCGTCTTTGTTTTGCCAGTTTAGCCAATTATAATTTAGCAGCCCAAGTTGCCTTGTTGGAAAACACCGTATTTCATTCATTCATTCATTCATTCATTCATTCATTCATTCATTCATTCATTCATTCAATCATTCAATCATTCAGAAAGGCTCTCAAAGCATGAATCCATGACCGAAATGTGACCTCGGTGAACAGTAGCAAATTCCTTCCACATGAGGTTATTAATTAGCAATATTAATATAAATATTACTAATTTAAACATTAGGTGAGCAGTTTACATTTTAACCCTGTGTCCCAACAATACACTACGTGACAAGATTTGCAGTAATGAGCAATTAGGCTGTTTGCACCAGACGAAACGTGATAGAAATTTAAATACAACCTTTCAAAAGCACAGAATATGCACTCACTCATGAAATGGCAAGGTTTATGATCTATTTAATAAATAAACCCCTTTAACATTATTAAATGTACATGCTGAATCACTAGTGTATTGGTTTGCATTATTTCACAGTTCTAAAGTTTACTTTCAAACAGTTGATTTTATTTTCAAGATCTGCCGTTTTTTTTAGTAGTATGCCAATAAATGTCAGGTAAAATGGCATTCAAACTCACATTGTTAGCATTTAACACTGAATAAAGTACATGAGGTGTACCTGAGGTGATCATTGTCATTTACCCTGTTGTTAAATAAATCTGTGATAAATAGAAGCCATTTCTAATATATCAATTTGAGGTGTTGGTTACAAAAAAAACTAACTAATACTAAAACAATTAGTTTGCCTTTCTTTTTAGTTATAAACCTCAGCGAATTATTTATTTATTTTTTTTTCTTCTCAGAAATGCAATTTTGACCCAATTTGACTTGCGCACTCAGGTGTGACTTGCTTTCTGAAAAACACACAAAAAAAATCTTTGTAAATATCTTGTCCATCACGTACCATGATCTCTGGCAGGTTCTGTAGTGTGGTTTTGAGCTGGTCTGCGGGAGACAGTGTGTCCGGCAGAAACATGGCTCGGGACAGCAGCAACAGAGATGTGGGAATGTGCTGATTGAGGTGAAGCTCCAACCACTGACACGATCAGAAAAAACAGATGCACAATGAGAAGACGGATAGCTAGAATATGATTGATCACAGAGGGAAGTGTTTACCTGTTTAAGCTGCTCTCTCAGTCTCTCCTCCGTCACCCCCAGAGCTCTCATTCCTCTCACTCGACACGCCGCCTGCAGCTCATTCGCAGTCAGACTATCCACTCCCTCCTCGGCTATCAGCTGATAATCACACACACAGATTTAACTCAAGCTGGTATAGACATTTAAAACAAAAAAACATTAAATACATGACTTAAAAAGGACAAAACTTATTTCATTTCATTTTAAAAGTAATTTGTATCATTTTTAAAGTCGTTTTTTAGCATCAATGCAATAAAAGTGCAACATTTTGCACTTTGGCTTTTAAGTGATGCCTTGAAATGATGTCTCATGTATAATGTTCTTTTTACCTTTCATTACCTATTGTCATTATTGCCTTTATCCCTTCTTTCTTTACAATTTTTACAATCTTATCAGTAAAGCACTTTAGGATATATCTTTAAAAGTACTATAGAAAAGAACATTTATTATTATTATCATTATTATTACCTTAATCTTTTGGTAACACTTTAGAATCATGGTACATTAGTTAATGTTAACGAATTTACTAACATAAACCAAGTATGAATAATCTTGTAAAGCATTTATTAATCATAGGTCAACATTAGGCAATAAATTATTAAAATCCAAAATGTGTGCTTGTTAACATTAGTTAATGCACTGTGAGTTGGCATGAACTAACATTATGTAAATTAATTAAATTTTTAATAATGTAAGTTCATGGTTACTTACAGTGCATTAACTAATGTTAACAAGCTAATTCAATAATTAATTTAATGCCATATCAGCAACATTGGCTATATGCATGGCAAAACCTATACTAAAAATACTATGAATATACAACAAGCAATAATATCAGTTTCTTGATAAACATTCATTGTATAATAAAAACTTACAAATAACAACAACACTGATTAGAGTCATATACAATCTTTCAGTTTGATCAATAACAAATATTCTAAAATTCCTCCAAAAGGCATCTTTTAAACATTTCTCTTAAAATATCTCTTGTATAAAAACATTATCTAATATAATTTTTAAATACACATTCTATTAAAAAATGTTTCATCGTCAAAATATTCTCACACAAATCACAAATAGATTTTTTTCCCTTTTCAATATATATGTGTGTGTAAGTCTTGAGTGGCCCATTCTACATGTTGTATCTATTTAAATTAAATAACATTAAGTAATGTTAAAGATGAATACATACCATGGTAAATGTATTAATAATTGTTATGTTAGTAAATACAATAACAAACATTAACTAATGGACCATTATTTTAAAGTGTTACCAATTTTTCTTCCTGTACATCAGAACAAGTTCTACTTAATTACATACTACTGCGGTTGAACAATAAGCACATTTTTCACCACCATTTACAAAAAACACGCAGTTATCCACTAAAATGGCTTTCAGTGTAACCGTATTATTATTTTGTATTATATTATTTTACATTATAATATTTAGAACAAGAAACATTCGCTGACATTAAAGGAATCCATTTAGGGATCAACATCTATGCCATTTTCCTACAAGGGTACCTATTTGTCAGTAAAAATCATTTACTAATTATTTTATACATTAAAGCAAGTACAGGCCAGAATAAATATCTTGTTTTTAAATAAATGTGCTTTTCCTAAATGACAATGTAGCCTTATGTCACCCATATTTATTTTCAAAAAAGTTATTTGAAACATGAAATATTTAAAATATTTTGCATGTATATAAAAAAAACTTCAGTACATTTATTTTCATGCAAATACCAACATATCCCTAACCATTATATACTCCATTCAAAATGCATAATTCTAACTTGAATTAAACATCATGAATGTATATTTAATCAAAAAAGGATGGCAGAATAAGATCAAACCCTTTAAAAGATGATATACATGACAATTTAAACATCATAACTATTCTAAAGATTATTTTTATAGTATCCAATAACCAAAAGATATGAAGCACGACAGTTTTAAATATTTTTGTCTAGGAACAAATTAGAACATTAGAAAGATTTCTGAAAGATCAGGTGACACTGAAGACACCAATTATTTTACATTGTGTAGAATAATATCTCACATTTCTTTATTTGTGACTGTTTAAATGCAGCTTTGGGGAGCACAAGAGCTTAAAAACGTAAATATTCTAGCAAAAAAATTAAATAACAGCATACGAGAAACAACTCAAAACATGTAGAAGATAAAAAACTACAATTTAAGCTCAAATTTGTCAGTTGAAACGGTGTCAAACTTGTGGAACAGACAAAAAACTTCATGTAATGTAATTACAAAAACTGACATACTTCACATGAAATAAATTATCAACACAAGAATCCTTCTTTGACACACTTTCTAACCTTGTCATCTGCACGGATGGCTCGAAGCTTCATGATGAGCTGGAAGCGCAAGAAATTGTTGGTACCGATGGACTGCAGCTCCAGCAGTTTGCACAGAGCCACCAGCTGCGGCCGCGTCAGGTTATCCAAAGTCAGTTCGTCCTCAAACAGCTTGGAGAAACGGATGATCTGCTCATTGCTGGGTATCTCTCCAGAGTCCCGGATCTGAGAGAGAAGGCAGAAAGGAACAGAGAGCTTGCCACAGAGGTAGTTCTCAAACAAATCAATTCATAAGCATTGCCACATGGGGGCAGCAGAGGACTGTGTTTTAAACTACTTGAAGATGATGTAGAGATGTTATGGTATGAAAATTTAATATCAAAAAGTGAACAAAGGTACTACACTTAAGGCATTTTACAAAGTATCTGAAAATGAAAAAACAACAAATTAAATTGCAGTTTAATTTAATTTTTTGACAAACAGCATTAACATCATGAATCCCAGCATTTGGATTTGTTTATTTATGTTTAAATTTTCCCTTGTATATTTTTTGGTTTTGTTTTAATAGATATAGTTGCTTTTCTTATTAAAGGGATGATTTGTTTAACCTGCACCTGGTAAACCACCTCAAAATAGATTGGTTTATGTTGTTTTTCACTAAATTAGCATGAAGCTGCTTTATGAAATCCAAAAATTGTTGTGCAATTTCACAAAAATATATAATTGAGATTTTTCTGACTGCTTTTTTGTTCTCAAGAGTGCTCAGTATTCTCAATATGCAAAACTGCCTATTTAAACAAGCAGAATTACCATGAGTTTTGAAAGATGAAGATTTGAAACAGTGACACTAACTGTCAGGAAATTAACTGTGGTTTACTTTGAAATTGGTACAACACTATTCTATTGTACAGCTGTTCTTGTTGTTTTTTCAGATTGTAACCTGAACACATGTAAGTATGATTTACCTTCTGAAAGAAAGTGGAAAACTCTTCGGTCACGTTGCCTTTGGATGCTTTGTTTCTTAGTGCAATTTCCTCGATTGTGTCCTGCAAGAACTTGGCCATCTCCAACTTCACTCTCAGCTCTTTCTTCAGCCTCTCCTCCTGCAAAACAAACACACAAAAGCCCCGTTTAATCCTGGCATTAAGATTTGTGTCGTTTTGGGAGACATATTCCTGTTTTGTCCACTTTTGACAACTTTTGTGATAAGGGAAGAGTCTATGGGCAACTTCTTTTTCTTTTGTCATCTTTCAATATAATATTGCTAATTATTCTAATTTAAATACTGTACAGTCAAAAAAACACCTTAAAATAACGTAATTTTTTTGATGAAAATGTTTACTGTTCAAATGCTAAGTAAATGTTAAAGCTGTAAAATCATTTACACAGGCAAAGACAACATTTTTAGCTGTATTTTTAATTTTTCCATTAAGTTATGTTTAATAGAGATATTTTTAAGACACATTTTTAAAAACATAATAGTTAATAACTATTTTCTTTTGCCTTCACCATGATGACAGTCCAAAATAGTTCATTAGTTATTTAGCCAAATACTAGTATTAATTTCAGCTTAAAGTGTTTGCTTAACTTGATTAATTAGGCTCACCAAGCAAGTGATTGGACAACAGTAGTATGTACTGTAACCAACTGTAAAGTTATTGGGACGGGGTGCAGATAATATTATTAATATTAGCATTTTTTTCATTTTCAATTTATTAGATTTTTTTAATTATTGCTGCCAAACTAAAAGAAATAAGACCCAATGCAACATTAATATCATTTAAAGTTTAACATATAGATACATCTCTATATACATTATTTTATACATTTAATTTTAAGATTTAGATGGAGTGTTTTTGTGATTTCTTTTTTTTTTTTTTTTACACTTTTGTACAGTGGATCAGTTTTTTTTTTATATAACATATAGATAAAGAAATACCAATAGAACTTGCAACACTTATTGTAGTCCTTATAATTTTGTCTCAGTATGTTTGCCTAAAATAAACTGATTAACAAAAAAATTAGGAATTCATACATTATATAAAACTCATCTGTTATTTAAAAAACAATTGCACATACTAAGAATGCAAGACTACTACATTTTAGAAATGTAATTTCTAGTCAGGGCGGTACAATGGCTCGGTGGCTAGCACTGTCGCCTCACAGCATTAAAGGTCGCTGGTTCGAGCCTCAGCTGGGTCAGTTGGCATTTCTGTGTGAAGTTTGCAGGTTCTTCCCATGTTCGCATGGATTTCCTCCAGGTGATCCAATTTCCCAATAAGTGTATTGGGTAAGCTTAATTTTCTGCAGTGTATGAATGTGTGTGTGTATGTATGGGTGTTTCCCTAGTACTGGATTGCAGCTGGAAAGGCATCCGCTGCGTAAAAAACATATGCTGGAATAGTTGATGGTTCATTTCGCTGTGGCGACCACTGACATAGAGAATAAGCCGAAAAAAAAAAAAAAAAAGAATTAATTTCTAGTGAAACGCGAATTTTTTTATGAATGAAAACCTAAAATATAGATGTGAACTTTAGACAATTCTAACCTTATTTAGCTTTTTCAATATCAGTTATATGACAATTTCCTTTAGATACTGTAGTTATAAAAGCCACAGATTTTTTTATATGAATGTTCTGATGTATGGAGGATGAAACCCGCAAAAACAATAAATAAATGAATACGAAAATATATAAATAAATGAGTAAATAAATCCATCAAGTCCTGCATAAATACAATAATAAATATGCAAATAAAATAGTGAATAAATGTAATTAAAAATTCACAAATTCCTGCATAAATGAATATATAAATAATTTATAGTGTGGATTTCCTCCAGGTGCTCCGGTTTCCCCTACAGTCCAAAGACATGGGGTACAGGTGATTTGGGTAGGCTAAATTGTCCGCATTGCTTGAGTGTGAATGAGTGTTTCCCAGAGATAGGTTGCAGCTGGAAGGGCATCTGCTGTGTAAAACATTTGCTGGATAAGTTGGCGGTTCATACAGCTGTGGTGACCCCAGATTAATAAATGGACGAAGCCGAAAAGAAAATGAATAAATGAATGAATGAATGAATAAGATCCGAAATCAAAACTGAATTTTGATAAACTGCACAGCGCTCGTGCATAAATATAAAAGTTAAGTCAATGCGTTTACTGATTTTTTTTTTGTCAAAATCACTTGGGTTTAACCTTTTTTTTTTTTTTTTTTTTTTTTTTTTTTAAAGTAACTAACTACAATTTACAGTATAGCATCACCCACTTGTCAACAAAGCTTTTAAACACATGGTGTAAACAGAAAGTGTGTGTGAGACCGATAAATGACGTGTTAGCACATTGGTTTAGTACAGGTTGAGACATTTGCGGCGTGACTTAAACAGAAATACAATTAAGGTCTTAAAGGGTCTTTAATTATAGATTCAAAAGGTCAACTTGCCTTTTTGGACTGTGTCTCGAAGGTGGATGGCAGCATGTTGGGGAAGAGCTTCAGTGCGACAGGAAGCAGAAACTCCATGAACGGAACGATGATAAAAACCAGGAAGGGCAGGAGGCGAAAGACATCTGCACACGTCCTCAGAAACTGCAATTAACACAAGACAGGCAGTGATGTCAGAAGATAGTGGATTTGGGGATGAAATGCAATTATTGATCTGTGATGTTACTTTTAACATGTAGAGCTAAAAATAAAGTAAAGCCCTGAGAGGCCTGTCATGAAGAGCTAAGAACAGACTTCAGAGAATGAGCTGCTATGTCAGGATGATTACACACACCACTGTATAATTACAGCTCAAATCCTACTGGGATGCGAAAAGACTCTCAAAGGGATGGTTTTTTCCCAAATATTACCTGTCTTCCTCAACACTATTTGGGCACTAAATCTACCCAGAATATCTGCTCTATTTCAGCCTTAAATCTAAATTAATATAAAATGATGATGATGATGATGATGATGATGATGGACATTCACACTTCACCTCCATTCGTTCTTATTAGCTTAATAATAATAATGATAATAATAATAATTATTATTTTTATTATTATTATTATTATAAAAAAAATCTTCAAATCTTTATCATCAAAAGAAATCTTTCAACCTCTTTATTAAAACACATTGTTGTATTTGATTTTTCATTTACTGTAATGACATTAACCAATGACAATAATGGAACTACAAAAAACACAATTATTCTAGGAACAAACCTAAAATGATTCTCTGAATATCAGCATTATAGTGAGGTTTACACAGGCACATATTTCTGAAACTCTTTCTTTCACATTATAACATGCAAAGACATATACAGCTAGAGCCATCCTTATGTTAAACTAGCAATACTATTAAAGATTTTGTATGTTTAAATTAGTTTTAATTTCAGTACTAGTATTCGGTTTTGGTTGGTGTCATTGCTGGTTTTGTTAGTTTAAATTTAGTTTTTTTTTTTTGTCAATCTGTTTCTATATAGCGTTATATATTTAGTTTCAGAACAGAGCACGTACAGTGTACCAAAAATTCATATATGAATCCAAAACCACACAAATTCAACTTATAAATTATAAAAGTAAAAATGACGTTCTGAGAAAATCATTGGTATTAAATTCTATGCATAGAACATACCTAGTTTGTATTTTTTGACAGATGAAGAAACTGGCTTTTTTTTATAATTTCGGTTAATTTTGCCAACCAACAACCGTCACTCCTCAAACAAATATTAATAGCTAACTGGTCAGATTAATATTAAAATACTATTTAATTAAAAAATAAACAATTGGCATGTCTATTTTGTGTCTGACACATTAAATGTAGCATTTTAAAATACTGATTTATTTTAAAACGCGAACAGCCGCATAGAGAACATATTGACAACAAAACATCTTTACACACCTGCAGTGTTTCCAACAGCATAGAAAAACAAATATATTAAATAAAAATAATAAAATAGATAGTGCTGCTCTAGATATTTTTTCACTTAAATGACAATTTAAGATTACAAAACGAAACCACTGACTGAATCATTTTTTTTTTCCATCATATTTTTTTCCGTCAAATAAAAATATCAGGCTACCTCAAATCAATCTATCCACAAAAAACATGCATTTAATGATCTGCAACTCTGGGTGTCGCCATCTCATCTGCTATTCCAACGCAATCTAACGGCAATTCGTAACTTTTTAATTTAGTGGCTAATTCGTATGAATTCTTACAATATAATTCGTACAATTTAGTATAATTTACTCATCACCCAATGACGGTTGGGGTTGGAGGTGTTGTTGGGTGCTACGCCTCCTTTTTAAAATCGTACATTTTCGTACGACTGAACTCGTACAAATTTATACGAATTAGCCACTAAACTGACAAAATGTAAAATACTTATGTTTCCCTGTGAGATCAGGCTGGCTATTCTCTCAGATAGCGTCTTTGATAGGAGCACCGATTTTCCTGTGATTTCAGGCATTTGTCAGTGATTTCTCAAAACCTGTCGTCGGGTCAAAAATCGGGGCTAAAAACATGCATAACTCTGATAAACATAACTTTTTCCTATTTTATATTTTATTTCGATTAGCTTTTCTTTAACTGTTGTTAGTTTCAGTTAGTTTTATTTTATCATTAATTATGACATAATTTTTTTCAGTTTACAAAAATGTTTTCGATACAACAGTTAAAGTCTTAGTTTGGTTTGTGGTCATTAGCCGCGTTTCCACTATCGCGCTTAAAGCGAGCGAGCCAGGGCGAGCCAAGGCCAGTGGCGTTTCCATTGTCACTTCCGGGGCCTAATCGGGCCAAAGCGGGGCTTTCTTGGGGCCAGCGGCCGGCTTTTTTCGGCCCGCCGAATACCTTGGGCCAAAGAGGGCCAGCCGGGGCTTTTGGGCGGAGTGAAAGGAGAGACGGGCACAGTTTTCCGATCGCACACGAGCACATGCGCCAAACACATAAACAAACAAATAAATAAATAAGAGAAAGAAAACATGTGGAACAAATTATAGGCTGGTGTCTTTTATGCATATGATCGCCCTTATGGTTCTCTTTTAAATGTAAGGTTGTTGCATAAAATGATAGTTTTAATAAGTCACTTTTCTTTGCTGCATCTCTTTGATGTTTCAATAAAGCATACTAATCTTTACACCATATTAAAGACACAGCAGACAGTAAAGGATTTTAAGAGGTTTTTTCAAGTTTAATAAGTGTTTTTGCGCGTTTAGATGCCTGTGCGTGTGTGAGACCGAGGAAAAGAGCGCTCCATTCATAGCTCTGTTGATGTTTTTTCTTTTCTTTTTATTGTTTTAATTTATTTTGGAGATAATACACTATATGAATACAACAGAAAGACATTAAACTTTACAAATTTCATGTCCGCTTTTGTAGGCTCAAAACAATAGTGTCATCTCTAGATAACATAGCCTAAGCTATATTTAAATAATTTAAAGAATTACAAATATCAGATAGGCCTATAATAAAATCACATTAAATAAATAAACCAATATAAAACTAACAAAAGCTATAGCTATAACAATTAGGTACTATATCAAACTGTTTCAAATTTATATTAAACTTTCATTTTTCAAAAGCCTCTTTGAAAAAAAGATTTTCTAAAAAATAAATAAATAAATAAACACCGGAAAATGTTTTAAATATTATTTATAAAGTATTTGGATACGATGATATTAATCAAATTATGCAAACAGAGCATTTTCGGGTTGAGTGAACGCAGAAACTAGGCGACCTTTTTTTTCTTTCTTCCAGCTGCGCAGCACTTCTTTGACGGGGAAAACTGCAAGTTCAAAATGTGTTCTGTGTCCTCAAACAAGTGTGTATGTTTTTATATAACGTGGTAAAATTAAAAAAGGAAATTTAAAATACATAAAGAGCTTTATTAGTGCATTGCTGCTGAGCGCAACGAAATATAGGCAATATTTTATTACGTGCTGCTTTTATGTGCTGAAACACTGAACACTTTCCTTTACTTAAGATATAATAAGCAACATCTTTAAATAAAGGGAATCACCTATTAAGTGTCGTAAAGCCTATAGGGAAAAATAATCATGTTTCAGTTCTCTCCGGAGCATTTGGGATGCATGTTGGACAGCGTCTGTCTAGAGGATGTTATAAAATACATTTTATATCGAGTTATTAATGGATAATTTTATATATGTGGTGTTATATTATGGATGTGTGCGCTCCCTGCGCTGGGTCCCTCCGTTGGTGGCAAGACCACTGGATTTAGATGCCAGTCGGTCGGCGAGTAAATGAATATGATGAATGAAAACACACAGGCATGTGCATAGACATGCATTGTACTACTGTACAGTAACATGTCATTTGTTTGTTTTGGTTGTCCTATTTTAATAGTTTCGTGATGATGTGATGGTGTGCTTTATCCGCATGATTCTCGCTGAAGTGGGCGGTTTGAGTGACGTTCGATTCGGGGGATGTTCTGGGGGCGGGGATTGCTGACGCGCTGCAAGCTACTAGCCCCACAGTGGAAACGCGACATGATTTTGGCCTCACTGCTCAACCTCCCAGGCGATTGGCCCGGCCTGGCCCGATATAAGCCCTGGCTCGCACTGGCCTGATAGTGGAAATGCGGCTATTAAGAGCTTCCTGGGCTTTCTTCAGGTTCTTCACTCTGTCAACAACATTAGCATAGCGAGGTATGCTAATGCACCAGTCTCATCCAGCATCTGTCACACCTCACTCTGGCTATTCTTCTGACCTGCTTCATCCTTAATCCAGCCTATTCACTGACGGCCCTCGCACAGCGTGGCTCCTGGAGCTTTTGAAGGCAGTCATCAACCCCCTTCCCAAACCCTCACTATTGCTCCCACACAGCCACTTCCTTTGGAGAAGGAGAGAGAAGGTTTCTCCATCGCACGCACTCGTCCATCAACATTGTTTTTCTCTTCTCTCTCTGTGCCTGTGGTGATATACATGTCAATGGGCACAACACAAAGGCTCTTTTCAGGCCTGGTTGGCTTAAATTCTTCCCTATAGGACCACTGACACACAGGTGGAGTGAGGGGTGCAGGGAGCCCGCTTATAAAGCTGAAGAGCCTTTGTTAATAATCTCTCATTTTCTAAATTAGTCATATTTGGTCACATTTTTGATAAAGCAAGAAGGAAGTCAGTATTCGCCATGTGGACTTGCTCCAGATATGATTTGAATGCACTGATTTTGGATGGCATCTTCTCAGATCTGAGAGAGATTTCAAATTTGTTGTCCATTTTATTGCTTCATTTTATATATATTATGTATTTCAGATTTAAATTTTATTTAATTTTGTAAAATTTTTGTTCCATTTTTCACATTCAAATGTTTTTTGTTTATTTTCTGACATGAGTTTTTGTCTTTCTCTTTAATTTCTCATTTTTTTTTTACAGATTTGAATCAATTATTGGTGTTTGTTTTTTAGGTATTAAAAGTAGAAGTCGACGACTAAGAAAAGTAAACTAGAACTAAAATAAAACTAAACTAAATAATAGTTCCCACTATTAATAGACATAAATAGACATAGCAATGCATGCATTATAAAACAATTATTTTACAATTACCTTCAAAATATTTTCTAGATGTAGATATTTGCAAGAGT